ATCCTTCGGACTATGATGGGCAGAACTTGGTCCGCTGATCCTCCCTCTCTTATGTTGTAGAAACTTCAGTCTCCATCGTAAGGTAAAGGCTGACCCTGCTCCTCGCTCCATCGGTTCAAGGTTATTGCCCACATAGGAGTAGGACCCTGAAATGTCAGACAAGGGTTGGGATTTGGAGCTCCAGGGGGTAGGTTGTTAACTTCTGGTTCGGAGCTGGAGCTATCCGAGAAGCCTTCAGCATGATGATCATCCAGAGGGATCGGGTGATCATCGTCTGACTCCTCATCGAGCCATCCTCCATTGCCCTGGTTTGGATAGTACGGATCGTCGGGATGGTGGAAGCCAACCATGATATCTACGCGAGAAAGGGGGAATAGAAAGGTTAATATACGTACTAATCTAGGATACTTATAAGATGAATCGTTATTAGTTGACCCAATACTTGCGTAGTGCATACCAATTACATGCAACCGAAGCAAGATAGTCCTTCGAATAAACAACCCTAACTTCAGATCCCCAATCAAACAAGAATAGGAAATGAAGCAAAGGCCACAGATTCTGAGTCTATAGTGCCCTAGTCACATGTAACCGTGGTGTATCCACTTAGCAACTATCGTCCTACCAGTAACGACCCTTTTAGTTATCACATATGTAGTTAATAGTATACATAATACTCCTATAGTATTCTTGTTCTAACGTTCTTGTGGTAGTGTTGGTAGTTTTTAGACTTGTTGCAACACCATAATCACTCTTAGGCACATGCTAGTCACTTCTGGATAAATGTAGTTGATCAGGCTACATCCCCCCAGGAGTGACTATATGTCTCTAAGCTTAATTGTGTTGTTCAACAATCTTAATACTTTTGTTTTGTTCTAGTATGATACTGACCATTTTGTAGTGGTGAGTGTATATATATACTTAATTAAATATTTTAGTATTTAGAAGTATATATTCTTGGTCAGAGTGTTTTTGTCCCGAAGTGTTTATAGTTCGTATATCTTTTTATAGGTTGATATACTTGATTCACTATAAACAGTGCTCTGATACCAATCTGTCACACCCCAAAACCGGTAACGACGGAATACGTTCTGGGGTAGAGGACGTCATGTACAGTATCATAACAATTGCATAATACTAAAAACAAGACACAACAACCATTTCATTTACATAGTGAGTTTAATTACAAGCATGTTCTGAAAAGTTTCAATAGACACCAAAAATATATCAAAAATAAGAGATGAGTCTTCTATGCTCCATCTTCTCCAAAAATGGTGCACCTGTACCTGTCTATCTTTGACCTGAGGATACAAGTTATTTTGAAAACGAGTATCAGCATAAAGCTGGTGAGTTCATAAGAATTTAGTGTCTTTGTTGTATAAAAGTGTTTTCAGTTTATTGAATTAAACTGAAATTTATGTTTATAAGTATTAGAAATCCCTAGAAAATCCTATATTTTCCAGGAAAGTACTTTGTAAGTTAAATCCCTTGAGTTGTGTGTAAGAATTATCATTGAAAACCTTCAGTTTTAAAAGTACAGTAATAAATCTGATGTAAGTAACATAGGAGAAGAAAAGTTATGCCTGTTAACAGTAGTAGTGGTGCAAACTTCCATTAGTAATAGATATTTACTTACTTCGGGATGTTAGCTTAGACTTGAGTCTTAGTGTATTACGTAGGTTAAAGGTATAACCCCTCAGGTGACCAGACTGAAGTGATAATAGAGAACCTGATGACCTTCCCGGTCATGCGTAGTGTAGTGATGTAGTGCCACCCCTGAGCCTAGTCGGCTCGGACTGTAGCTAGCAGTCGGATGTAATAGTGTCTGTCCCGTGTAGATCTATACGTGTAGTGATGCCTTCCATCCGGAAAGCCCTGGTCACATAGTGTAAGCGTAGTAGATGTCTTATAGAGGGATAGTATGTTATACTCTGGATTCATGTATTCTTCGGTATTATAGTATAATAGTCTTTTGTATAGTTCTTAGAGTGTTCTCTTATACGTGTGTTGACTTGTCGTAATAGCCGTTATAGCGAGTATAGTAGTAATAGAGGTAACAAGTAGTAGTCTTAGCTATACCTATTATAGCTAACTAGAGTGTATGATTTCCGGCCTTTGAATAACAAAGGTATTGTATGGGATGAAGACTTTCATATCTAACACTAATATATATGATATATAACTAAGAAATCAACGACAGTCGGACGGATAACAGATACCCTAGGACCACATCAAACAAGAACAGGAAATAAGGCGAGCTATCGGTCCTAAGTCCTTCAAGTCTTAGTTATATAAATATATTAGTGTAGATATATTTTAAAAAGAAAAGAAATTTTAAAAACAGTTTAATAACAATTTAATCTTAAGATGCATTTGATAATCAACTAAAACAGTTTTATTAGAAAGCAGTTAAAAGTGTAGAAAATCCCTTTTTGATGATAATTTTGTAAATCACATATGATTTAATAATAAAACTTGTAGAATTTATACTTGTATCCCCCCCTAAAACATGTAAAAACATTTAAAAAGGTTCATTAAGGGGTATGAACTCACTTGAAATGAGTAGATCGGGTGTGAGTGTCGGATGAGCGTTTGGTGTCAAGTAAGGACTTGTACACCCTTTATGACCCTAATAACATATGAATACATATGTTTACAAGTAATTAGTGATTTAAGCTCAAATTAAACACATAGCCATCCTAATGTGAGTAAAGGTCTTGCGGTTGAATGTTAGGAGACTAATGGGTTGAAAGGAAGGAGTGTATGGCCTCAACATGGAGTTTACTCTCCTAAAACTCACTTTAAGTGAGTTTACGGTTGGGAGACCACATCCCCCATGAGTTTACGGCCGTAAACTCATGGGAGAAGTGTTTTTGAATGCTTTCAAGTCTCTTGTGGTTCTAGAAATGGTTCTAAGGAAATATACAAGGCCATAGGGGTGTTTAAGGGTCCAAGAGTGTACTCCCTTGGAGCTTACGGTCCAAAGACTACTCCTTGGGAGTTTACGGCCGTAAACCCTATGGTTTATGGTAGTAAACTCTCATGCACCCCCATTCCTTGATTACTAGACCTTTGGTTCAATCCTAACAATTTCTAGTGAAAGCATAAGGCTCTTTAGGGGCTTAAACCCTCATTTCGCATGATTTAGGGGAGTCTACGGTCTAAGCATATGCTTGGGCCGTAAACTCTATTTTGTCCCTCAAATGTTGGTGTTTAAATGTTCTAAGTCCAAAATAGCAAGTCCCTAAGCCATATCATAAGTCCAAGGATGGTTTGGAAGTGTTTTGGGCTTGTTTTGCATGGTTAGAGGGTGTTTACGGCCTAAGCATGTGCTTGGGCCGTAAACCCTCTTTTAAGCCCTAAAAATCGATGATTTATGGTTTAAACACTTCTAGGTTAAGTCCACAACTAGTTTTGAAGTCTAAAGGGAGGAGTTTTGGGCATTTTGGCACCATTTTAGGTGTTTACGGCCTAAGGAGGTTCTTAGGCCGTGAACTCCTTTTCGTTGGCCATTTTGAGTGATTTTTGGACTATAGCAACAAGAGATGATGTTTGGAACAAGTTGGGGTAGAAGATCTTACATTTTGGAGGCGGAAACTTGCGGTTTTGAGGCGAAAACGAGCTTGAGAGAGAGTAGAGAGAGTGGGTCTAGAGTGGTAAAAGAGTTCCATGATGTGTTCACCCTCCTTTATATAAGGCTTGGGTGTTGCACCCGGTATACGTGCGCCCGATACTAAAGCTTAACGAGGTTTAAACTTTTTACCCGGGTTAAATGGTCGTAATAATAAAAATAACTCTTTCCAATTAAATGGAAGAGTAAATTACGAGTTTTTATTTATTTTGTTACGACAATAACCACAAAAATATAAATAAATAAATAAACATTCATTTATTTGACGACCCCAAATTAATGTAACTTTTATAAAATGACATATTCCGTTAACGGAAACGGGTTAATATAACGGAATAAACTTTGGGTTGTCACACTTGGTATCAGGGATTTATGGTGTTTATCACCTCACTTTGATTCACCAGCAGTCGCTCCGACTCCTCTCTTTTCAATTAACACTTTGGCTCTGATACCATGTTATTGTTATTGTGCAAAGCCTCTCAACAGGAGCGATACAGTACAGAAAATATATATGGAACAAAGTTACATTAAGGGCCCCTATACTATACAATAAATAATAAAAAGTATATATCTAACAATAATGGTTAATGTGTTATCTTAAGACCGTTCTGTAGTAAATAAATCATCGTCATAAGGAACATATGGGATATTTCACACGCCTTCCCGTATTTTCATCCTATGGAAATATCCATTCGAATTAGCATCCATTGATACACATACACATTTCCCATATTTTCATCCTTTGGAGATATCCCTTCAAATTAGCATCTATTGATACATATATACATGTAACGAGACAAGCATATATATACCTTAGAAAATATATTAAATCATGATGTGTTCGGTCTTCCCATGTTTGGTAGTTGCAGATAGTGTCGACCAAGAAACAAAATGAAGATTATTTTGTGTTGTTTCACTTACTCGTATTTGGAAGTGATTTTCTTTATTGATGTTGGATCTTTAATTTTCGCACTAGATGGAGAGGAAGGATATCTATGGAATATATGTAGAGCACATAGAGATGCAAAGAGAGAACGTCGATCTTAAGGGTACAGTTGTAGAATTAAAAACAGTGCCGGTTGTTGGAATGAAAGACATTGACGCTGACTTGGGGGGGGGGGGTTTCATTTGAGTGGTGACCGGTGGTGTTGGATATAGGAAACACAACAAGAAACAAGTCCTTTAGTGATGCCGTTTATAGCAACGACACTACCCTTTAGCGGCGGCGGAGGATATTGTCGCCGCTAAAGGCTAACGTCGTCGCTATAGACGACATCGCTAAAATTATTCCACCGGCGATCCTCCTACACCACACACCATTTGATCCTAACCGTATGCTGCTACACTGATCCATCGGTTGGGGTTTAATCTAATGGAAGGTAATAGAGGCAACGTCAACTGCAATGACATGTCGCCGCTATTGCTTGCGATCTGCGTGAATCTCATCGTAGTTGTTCGCATATTTATGGATCAGACAGTTAATAATCACCATAGAAAGGTGCGTTTTTTTACCTCCAATATCTCACCATTATTGCCTTTGGGTTGCCGCTAAAGGGAACACCCTTTTGACCCCCATTTCGTCCCAAGCGATCCATTTCTGCGTTTCCTCCTCCCTCTCACAAAATTCTGGCGACATACTTTTCTGGTGTGATCATCCGGCTTATTACACCAACACAAACCACCACTAACCATAGATTGCTTCTAGGCCTTCATTTTCCGGTGATTTCCTGCATTTTCCTGTGATTTTCGGCGAATTCTAAGTTTTTCCAACGACGGTTAAGGTGCGTTTTCTCTTCCCTTTTCTATTTCTCTTGTTTTCTTAACATTATTTAACCCTAATTATGTTATTTTGGTGCTTTTAAGGTAACTCTTCGTATTTTCCAGTGAATATCACCACCACAACACCACCGCAGCTGTAGATTCCGGCGACAACTCGTTTTTTCTGGCGATCCTTTTCATTTTCCGGTAACAACAGGTTTTTCTTTCTTTTTTCTCTTCTAAATGCATTGGGATGTGAAATGTATAAACGTTAGTATGTGAAATGTATATTAAATGTATGAATATTTATGTAAAATGTATATGCAAATGTATGTGTGAATAGGTATGAAAAAATGTTTATGTATTTGTATGTATGTAAAAATATGTGATTGATTGTATATTTATGTAAAATGTATGTATGTATGTGTGTATATATATATATATATATATATATATATATATGGAAAAAAATGTATGTATATGAAATGTAGTTATTTTTATGTGAAAATGTAGGTGTTTGTATGTGAAATTTATATATATGAAATATATTTGTATCTATGAAAACATATATGTGAAAATGTGTGTATAAGTGCATTTGTATGTGTGTATATTGCATGTTATGCTAGAATTGTGTATATTCTATGTATATGTGTGTAATATATATATATATATATATATATATATATATATATATATATATATATATATATATATATATATATATATATATATAATGATAGGATGTTATAATTGAAAAAAAAAAGATGTTATAATTTACAATGTCTTTTTAAAGTATTATACTATAATTACAAAAACAAAATAACTAAGATAATATAAATAAAAATAAAAACGGAAGGGTATAATGTCATAATAAAAAAATAAAAAAAAAAAATAAGTTGATAGTAAAAATCATAATATGGAAAAAAAATTATGATATAAATAAAAAATGGTATAATTTAGTCATAAAAGAAAAATAAAAACAGAAAAGTATAATCTCATAATAGAAAAAAACAAAAAAAAAAAAGAAAAAAAATAGTGTTGATATTAAAAATCAAAATATGGAGAAAAAAAAAGATGATATAAATAACAAATATATAATATCGTTTAAAATATACTGTTATAATAAAAAATAAAAATGAGACTTAATACGCTAAATATACTAAGTTATAATTTAATAACAAAATTATTTAAAATACAATGCTATAATAAAATAAGTAAGTTTTTTTAGTTTAAATCTCTTCTTTTTAAATCATCAAAAGTCTAGAAATACCCGTCCACAATTGATTTATATATTAATTTCGGGCTGTCCCCATTTTTGGATTGCTTTTTGAATACCTTACCTTATTTACGATGTGAATGTGTATTACATGATTGATTGTTTAAGAAATATTCGGTTGTTATTTTCTCTTTGCTCATCAGGTGTTTAATTTTATATATACTTAGGAGCTAAGGGGAAATGTTGCCGTATTTTTCTTAAACGGTCAATCATGCAATACACATTTTAATATGAGATAAGGAATTCAAAAATTGAGTTTAGAAGCCTACCTTTATGAATACTCTTCCGTTGTCCGGTTTTCTATTCCATCCGATTGAGCGGTTACTCTATCATTATAAATATTTAATCCTGATTTTAGTTCTAATAGAGTAAACATTAAAACCTAACTTATGTTTCAATTACAACATGTCTATTGATAAAACATGGACTACTATTGCAAATCGTAACTCTCCCTTGTTCCAACAAGGAATCGAATCTTTTCTCGAAATGTCCAAACCACACGTCGATAACAAAGGTCAAATCATATGCATGTGTAATAAATTTAATGTCAATATATGGAAGTATCATTGTGAAATCATACTTATAATATATGGAAGTATCATTGTGAAAATACAGTTCATCCGATTGTCAAAGACATGTCGCATCGTAACGAGATGGCCGATGTTATTGCTAATGTTATGGGGGTTTGATTGAAATTGATATCAATTGCAACGAAGGGAACCCGGATATAGAGGGTAGCGGTGTCGATGATGGATTTCAAAAGTTGTTAGAGGAAGCCCATTTAAAATTATATCTTGGATGTTCGTTTTTGTCCCTTGATTTTTTGGCAAAGCTAATGCATATCAAGGTAATCAACAAATGTAATGATAAGTAGAAATATTATGGTCAGCCAGAAGAGATTATCGAGTTGCATTATTCTCATAAATATCCCACTGTACTTTTTTGTTGCAAGTGGTTCAAAATTGTAGGAGTTAAATCTGATAATAATTTCACGAGTATCGACCCACAACGTGAATTGAGGAACGAAGATCAACTCATATTTGCTACGCAGGCCAAGCAAGTATTTTACATCCAAGAACCTTCTCGAAGTAACGAAAATGACAACCAAAAGTGGGTTGCTTAAAATGTTAATCATAGATGAATTTGGGATCTACCGATGAATGATGTCGACCATGATCCCATTGTAAATGTCGACAATGATTCAACCGATGTCGTTCTTAGTAATGTTTCTTCTAATTTCACTCTTTCAATCGAATTTAGCCAATACTTTCAAAATTCTCAATCTGTTAAAGATGATATTGAAGTTGGTCCACCAACAGGTATCATTAATAATGTGTCTGATTGCGTGACAGATTATGATGATGAGGATTCCAATTATGATAGTGATGTGTCAGCAGACACTGAAGTGTCTGTGGGCGAGAATGATTAAAAAATCTTTACATTTGACTAGTAAAATAAGGTTTGAATTTGTTGTAATCATATCATATTATATGTATATATATTCATATTGTGTTATAATTTTTCAGGATGTCATGGAGGTGACGGTGATGACGAGCCACCACATCTGTTCGGTGAAGGTTTTAGTGATCACCAGATTGATGGTAATTAAGATTTATTCTAGTTCATTGTATTTTATATTGTATGCATATAAAAATTTATTTTGACTAATATTTTTATGCAACGGTGCCTCCAAAATGAAGAGGCAGGGCAGTAAAAAAAATATACAACTTATTTGGAGCTAACGGCTAATGGCCTCTGAAGATAATATTTGACATAAATACTCACATGCCGATTGGGGAAGTATATGAATGTTTCATTCGGGAGGTTGGGAGCTATATGTGACGCGACATCGGTTTCGATAAGAACACATGGACAAACGTTTTTGAAGCCGAAAGGGTTGGCATGTTTTTGTATCTTTTGGTAAATTATTTATAAAGTTATATACTTAATATGTTTAATTTTCATTTATTTTTAATTTCTCTAACTTTTTTAGACATGGTTTTATTTTCGAGCAATTACAAACGATCACATGGCTTCAGTTTATTGGGCATCACTGAACAATCAGATATGTGTGCGATATAGAGGCCGCAAAAATGTTGCAAAAACTCGTTTGACTGGTTTTGAAGGGGATGTGGAGCAACAAGGGCTCAAGCCCCTACGGGTATGGATCTGCAGCGTTGGAATGCTTCTATTGACCACTTCTTAACATAAAAGCATCAAAAATGATCTGGTGGAAACAAAGAATGTTGGAAGAAGCAAGTAGTTAAGAATCGTGGAGGGACATGAAGCTACGGTAGTGCTTGTTTTAAGAACGTAAGTTACAATATTGCTTATTCAGTTATAACATATTTTTTAATGTTTATTCAAGTGTAACATATTTTGTAATGTTAAACAGAATTTGAATAGACTTGAAGCATTTCATCATATGCATGTGAGTAAAAAAGGGGAATTTGTTGATCATTTGGTTGAATACCAATATGTAAGTTATTACATAAAAATGAAGTAGATTGTTTTTTTTTTGTTAGTTTAACATATATTGACAATCTTTCTGAAATACATAATGCCTTAGTTTATGAGGTTGCTTTACAACCTCATCACATAGCCGACACCGGTGGTGATCCAGACAGCATTGATTGGATCATAGTATTTGAGAATGTGTTGGGTACTCATAGGGGGCATGTGAGAGGCATTGGGCCCAAACATTCTTCAGGAGTGGGTACAAGTGCTTCATCCCAATGGCAATCATAGTCAAAGCACCACAACTAACACAAGTAGTTGTTAAATTCTTAAGGAATTTGGTAGTTTTGCTATAATGTTAAGAACTTGATACATTTATAGTAATTTTTGGTAGTTTGGTAGTTTGGTAGTTTGTTAAATTGTTAAAGACTTAATTGATTTGGTGGTTTACTAGCTTTTTAAATTGTTCCCGACTTAATTCTTTTGATGGTTTGATGGTTTGTTAAATTGTTAATGACTTAATGTGCTTGTTACTTAATTATAGGATGTTGATGTGAATGCTTCTCTTCAAAACCCGGAGTTTGTGACTGTCATTGGAGACATTATCCGTTCGTTTAAAAACCAAGATAATAACGAGGAAAAAAGGATGAAAATGATGCAGACACATAGTATTTCTTGTTTTATGTTATGGATGATGTTATTTTGGATTTATTAGATAGTTTGTGGATGATATATTAGATGTTTATTTGAGATTTATTAGATATTTTATGTAATGTGGTATATTTGATGTTTTATGTAATGTGGTATCTATTTTTTATTTGTCGCTGCATTTTATAATATATACAAACTAATATCATAAATAAATTATTAAAAAAAACCATTAGCAGCGACACATTTAGGGACGACAACTGATTCTAGGAAGAGTAGATGGAAAAACTCCGACCGGTGATCATTTAGCGACGACGAGCATTAGAGACGACTGTATTTGCGACGACAAAGGAGTATAGCTACGAGGTAATAGCGACGACTCTTTAGCGACAACATGTCGTTGCTAAAGGTAATAACGACGACACGTGACACAAATGCGATGATTTTTGTCATCGCTAAAAGGTACGCTTTTGTTGTGAAATCTTTGTAGCGGAATGTCAATAAAGACGAGTGATGGTGGTCGGAGAAAAGACAAGGTGAGGGGGTATAAAGGAAGAGATAGAGAGAAAGGAGACGGAGGGGTCGGTAATAGAAAAGAGGATGATGAATGGAGGTAGGATTGAGTTTCTTTAAATGTGTATTAATTTAAAATTATTAAAATTCGAAAACGAAATTAATATATATTTAAAGTATAAATAGTCATTTTAAGTTTAATCCTGCGATATCAGGTATTTCTTGTTCGAGGTTGAGGGTTGGAGACATGTCGTAAATATAGGTGATAGGTTAGATGTAGATTATATATGCGGTTCAAAAACATCCAAAATAAAAATAAAAATTAACCTCTTAAAGGTACTAATGTTTGAACAAAATTCAAACGAAACAATAGATATAATTACTTTTTTGCAATTTTACCATAATAGAGTGCAAAAATAATGTTAAAATTAAATTAATAAGAAGAAAATTAACAAATATAAATCGAATGGGAGTCACAATATGTCAATATAGTCTTATCACTTTCGGGCATAGTTTTCCACATTTTCAAATTGTTTATCAACATTACATAAACAAATCTCTTTAATAATAATAATAATAATAATAATAATAATAATAATAATAATAAAAAACAAATCTCTTTAATAATAATAATAATAAATAATAAATCATCATCATCATCATACCTAATAATAATAATCATCATACCTAATAAATTAAAATACTTTTGCCAAATGTCACCACCTTATTCAATATGTCACATGGCATTTTCTCTATTTTTTCACTTTTCTTAAAATTCCACTTGGGAAATTGTGGTTTTTTGCTTTTTTAATTAATCTATGAGCTGCATTTTGAAGATATTTAAAGAAAGCTTAATATATCATTAATGTGTCCGGTAAGAAATCAATCAACCTATTATATTCAAAAATAAACCTTCCTATATTACAAACACAAATTTCGGCAATACCTTTGAAATTTACGGCAATCCCTTTCATTCATAACTGTATATTTTCAAATTAAACTTTGATATCCTTTCCAAAACAAATTTTTATAAATTATGTATGACTACATTCCAATACATCTGTCTGTTATCAATGTTTCTTCAAAGTTCGAGTTTACAACATCATGTTCCAAATCTCTGCATCATTACAGTCTAATACATCCGTTTCTACATCAGGTTAGCAATGTCTTTTGGATGTAAGTTCCTTCAAACGATTTTTAATTATTATATTAAGAAAGTTCGTTTGTTCATCTAATGTTAATTGTCTCTGAAACATGATACGGTGGTTGGCATCCAATTGTCTCATGAAAAAACGCAGTGGTGGTAAAATGTTTATATGTAGAACAACGGATATATACACATGGAGAAACATGTGTTCATGTTCTCACTCTTTGTCATGCAAATTATGATGTAAAATCTATTTCATTACAGAATGATTTATCATTTTTCCATTGTTTTAGATAACTATTTTGGCTATTTTATCGTTTAAACAAATGGGATTGTTTTGTCCCTGCTAAAATAACTATTTTTTAAACAACTTGTATAGTGACTGTTTTGCCCCTGCTCAGTAGTTTGTAACCTTGTTGACAGATTCATAAACAACGACATTAGTGCTGATATGCCTTTATCTTATCATACATCTGCTTAAACTTGAAGTGGGTATATTTGATGAATATCATGTTGTATATATAATGATTTAGGTTGAAATATTTTAATTAGTTATTGATTATCACAAGTGTACCATTAATCACACATTTGATTTTGAAGTTCTACACAACTTCCAAATTAAAAATAGATTCCAATTTTAGGTTTTCCAAGTTTGAATATAGAATTTGTGACTCAAATCATACAATTTGGTTAGATTTGTTATTCAAGCAATGGATATAATTCACCAATTTTCAAGTGTGCAACTCTATTGACAGATTCATAAACAAACAGAAAAAATACAAGAGAATGTAATTGAATTTCATTCCAATGACATATTTTGTTATGAACACTTTTTGCCCCTGCTCAGAAAACTACTTTTAACTAAAAATCAACATGTAACCCTTGGTCCAAAACTACTTAATAATAATCATATTATTAGCAAATTATGAAGTTTTCACTTTTACCAAAATGTGATATGTGCAAATGGTGGGTAAAAAAGAAAAGAAAGGTTATTTTCGTCTTTCTTTTTGGATAAAGGGCATTTTGGTCCTTTTTAGCAAGATTATACTAAGTAACATTGTTGGCTGTTTGTTATTACTTCTTCTGTCTAATTTCATTTCCCTCTAAAACTTTGTTTTTTGCTCTTCAACTATAACTCACTTCAAGTACTATTCTTATTTAAGCATTGTACTTTTTAAGTACAATGCCATAATTTACTTTTAGTTTCCAGATGAACTCTTAACATAATCTTATTATGACTTTTGAATTTTTTTTACGTGTCACAGAAAGATGAAGTTGATTAATGAATGTACTTTTAACATTAACAATCGATATATAGATTTTTAAATTTTAATAATAATAAGCTATATTGATTTTTTTGTATTTTTTTTTGAAGCCCTTAAAAATGCAGTTTTAAACATATTCTAATTAACTAAAAATTAGGTTGTATTTGACAAATGCTAAGTAACTATTGAGAAACAATAAATATATAAAATAAATAGAATTAGATCGCCTTTAGGCTTTTAAATGGAAAGTAAAATTTTTTGTTGACCTTCGTTCTCTTTGTTGGTCTTAAGCTATAATAAATCAGCTAATAGTTGTTTTTAGAGAAAATGACAAAAATAGCCATTTACACTAATGGGTTTACAAAAATAGCCAAAAAAAATCAAAATTACAAAATTAGCCCACAATTTCGCAGATGGAGATGCCCATCTGCGAAATCAGCATCTCATTTGCGAATGTACAAGCACCTAAACCACAGCTGTGCTTTAGGTGCTTGTACATTCGCAGGTGCTTTTAATTTTTTTTTTTTATTTTTTTTCTGTAAATATAGGGGTAAAATCGCAGATGGAATAGGTTCATCTGCGATTTACTCTCATTCTATCTGCGAAATTGTGGTTTTTTTTGTATTTTTTTTTAGTTTGACTATCAAATGAATTGGTTTGACTACGAAATCATGTTGCTATATAAAAAGTTTTGTAGAAAAATATCATTTTGGTTGTTATTTGTTTAGGAACTTTCTCTACAATTTTCTCAAAAAATGATTGAATATTTGGTTTGTCTTGTAACCGGTGGGAGATGGCAAGTTAATGGAACTAATCTGGAATACATATGTCCACAGGGAGGTATTTCTGAACTTGCTTTGATATTTTCTGAGTAAATTAGTTATAGTGATTTTGTATCTTTGGTAAGAAGCAAAATTGGTTTGTTAGACAAATATAGAATTAGTCTTCGTTTCCACCATCCTGAATTAAATTATTATATAGCTATAGTTGAAGACATGGATGTTAGAATGTTGATAAACGTAATCAAATGTAGTGGAGGAAGGGCTGTGAAAGTGTTTGTGGTGGTTGATGAAGTTGAGGAGGTTAATGGGGGTGGTGAAATTGGAAACCAGCTTGTTGGTAATTTATGCAGTTATAAAGGGAGCAACGATCTGATAGGTACTTTCAATACTCCTAGTGTACCTCAGTTTCACAGTGTTGCTGAAAATGTTAATGTTAGTTATTCACCTATTCACTATGTGGATCCTGAGAATTACAAGCATGTTGGTGATGATGATGTTGGTACTTATCTTGATGATGTGGGTGGTCATTGTGATGATGTTGCCGAATAAGAAGTTAAAGTTATAAGTAGGCGTGTGGTAGATAAAACTAAGAAGAAAAAAATTCAAGTCAAAAAAATGAAAAAATCATGTTTACGGGCATTATGTTGATGTTGGTGATGTATGTTTAGATATAACCGAGCTACAAAGCAATTCCGATAGAGATGAGTTGGGTGATGAAGTTAAAGCTAAGTTTCCCGATAACCTTTTTCACGGTATGCCCCCTGTACCAGCATGGCCAGTTGATATTAATGAAGATATCCCAACACAGATGGTAGACATGAATCTTCAAAAGATTCAATGTGAGAGTATATTTAATAACAAAGAACTTTTAAAGCGGTGTATTGGTAAAAAAATGTCGTCGAGAAGGTTTCCAGACGAGGACAAGTAGATCCACCAAATCAAGGTATGAAGCTGTGTGTGTTTCGAAAAATTGTTCTTGGTTACTAAGAGCAAAAGCAACTAAAAATTCTGATGGACTTTTCCAAGTGAATAAATTTGTTGATGTACACACATGTTCTTCAACATTGTTGCAACCTAATCATCGACAAGCAAACAAATATATTTTGGGTGAATATGTTGCTGATGTTTTGGCTGAAGACTATAGTAGAGTTTATCGGGGAAAAAAATTGTTAATGATATGAATGCTCAATTGAATATCAATATCTCATACCATCAGGCATTGCGTGCGAAGCAATATGCATTGTTGTCGTTAAGGGGTACGAAAGAGGATTCTTTTACCAAACTTCCGGCGTATTGTCACAACTTGGCCAAACATAATTCGGGTACTGTCACACATATTAAAACAGATGCTGATGATCGCTTTGAGTTTTTGTACGTCGAACTCGGTTGCTCGTTAGTATTATCATATTATATTAATTTTTTAATATTTATTTTGGTGTATTTGAATAGATATACAATGTATTGTAGGTACGCGTTTTTGTCAATTTTGTAAGCCGACCCTAGTAGTAGATGGAGCTCACCTAAAGGGCGAGTACAAAGGTACCATGTTACTTGCTGTTACTAAGGACGGACAAAACCAAATATTACCGGTTGCATATGGTATATGCAAAGATGAGGGTACCGATTCTTGGACATGGTTTTTTCAAAAACTACATGATTGCATAGGAAATGTGCAGGAGCTTACAATTATATCTGATAGGTCTCCATCTATAGCAACATCCGTTGCCAACATTTTTCCTCACGCTCATCATGGAATATGTGGTGTCCATTTCTATTTCAACATAGTATCTAGATTCGTCAAGAGTAACACGGTTAAAGGAATTTTTTGGGAGGCGTGTAGGGCGTACACAGTTGATGCTTTTGATGCTGCCATGGATGTTATGAAAAAGACAAAAGAACCAGTATGGGAG